TTTTTTACCACCTTCCCTCCTTATGCAGGTGAAGACATTGACCAGGTAAGGAATCAAAACCAATTTGTGTTTATTTTTTCCATTTTATCTACCTTCCCTCCTTATTCAGGTAAAGACACTGAGAAGATAAGAGATCAAAACTGGTTTTGGTTTATTTTTTCCAGTTTTACTGACTTCCCTCCTGTACTGTGATGTTTTTTGTGTTTTGGTGTGGTTTTTTTCCCAGCCCCATCGCGTTCGGGCTGGCTGTGTGTATGTGGGGGGTGCTTTTCTGTGGGTTTTTTTCCCAGCCCCATGGCGTTCCGCTGGGGCTGGCTTTGTGTGGGGGTTGTTTTTGAGTGTTTTTCCCCCAGCCCCATGTCATTCTGCTAGGGGTGGCTGTGTGTGTCTGTAGTTTTTAAGTTTTTTCCCAAACCCATAGTGTTCCACTGGGGCTGGCTGTGTTGTTTGTTTGTTTTTTTGGCACCAGCACATTTCTATGGGGCTTCCAGTGATTTATTTTTAATTTATTTAGGTTTTGGGTTTGTTTGGATTTCTGGCCAGAACAGATTAATGGGGTTTCTATGTACTGTATTCCTATGGGAAATGGTACTTTGACTTACGACCATTTTGAGTTATGCACATCTTCTAGAATGGATTATGGTCGTACGTCAAGGCACCACTGTAGTGGGGTTGCTGACCTTCAGCCAGATATCCTGGAGAGTTAAGTCAAGTGGGCCTTAGAAAGCATGGCTAACAACAAGGCCAGTGGAGGTGATGGCATTCCAGTGGAACTATTTAAAATCTTAAGATGACGCTGTTAAGGTGCTACACTCCATATGCTAGCAAGTTTGGAAAACTCAGCAGTGGCCAAAGGATTGGAAAAGATCAGTCTACATCCCAATCCCAAAGAATGCTCCAACCATACAATTGCACTCATTTCACACGCTAGCAAGGTTATGCTCAAAATCCTCCAAGGTAGGCTTCAGCAGTATGTGGACCGAGAACTCCCAGAAGTACAAGCTGGATTTCAAAGGGGTAGAGCAGTGGTGTCGAACTGTGGTCCTCCACATGTTCTTGGCCTTCAACTCCCAGAAATCCTGGCCAGCAGAGGTGGTGGTGAAGGCTTCTGGGAGTTGAAGTCCAAGAACATCTGGAGGGCCACAATTTGACACCACTGGGGTAGAGGAACTTGAGACCAAATTTCTAACATGTGCTGGATTATGGAGAAAGCCAGAGAGTTCCAGAAAAACATCTACTTCTGCTTCATTGACTATGCAAAAGCCTTTGACTGTGTGGACCACAGCAAACTATGGCAAGTCCTTAAAGAAATGGGAGTGCCTCACCACCTTATCTATCTCCTGAGAAACCTACATGTGGGACAGGAAGCAACAGTTAGAACTGGATATGGAAACACTGATTGGTTCAGAATTGGGGAAGGAGC